TTTGATAATTACTTACTCGACGCTTTTGCTACTAGAATTGAGGAATGTGGCCTCCTTTTCTCTGTACAAAAAACTCGTGCCCTCATTCCATGTGGTATTCCACCAGCCATTTAACATATGGCTGGGCGAGCACTTGAGAACTGCGAGTCTTGCAGATACCTTGGTGTCCCCATTAACGACCCTGGGTACCTTTCTTCTCTCAAGAGGAGAGACTAGGAGAGATTAAAGCCCTTGTAATGACTTGCTAGAACGTTCCATATACCATTTATCTGCTCTGTGACTGACTTCATCTCACACTGTATACGGACAAAAAGCTAAAATCCCTAGAAACTTTGCAAAATAAAGCTATGCGACTTTGGAGCCCCAAGGCTCCAACGTCCATAAGAATAGTTAATTTGAGACCCGAGTTAAAGCTACCTACCATAAGTGAGATAATTTTATCCATTAGCACAGTTTTCGGCGTGAAGACGTTGAGTAGATCTCGACAGCACATGAAATTTCAAACAAAACTGTATAATATGCTCAACTCGCCTGAGGTCTCTGGAAAAACAAAATTTGATTCCGCATTTTGATTTTACAAGGTAGCCGACTCCATTAAAATATTAAATATGTACGTATCTCAATTATTGATCAATTAACCAATTAATTCATGGGATGACTGGTATCTATTAGTTGATTTTATAATTTCACCCAAAACAGTGAACACTACATTATTTAAACAACGCTGAAAAGCAGCAGTGAGCGTCCTGAGGTTATGGGTGGCGATGTGTATCAGTGCTATACCGATGGTTCTGTGGAAGAAGGTGGAAGATGTCCGGATGGGAGTGTAATATATTCGAACAATCTTCTGTACCTACTGCAGTGAAGGGTGTCAGTGGCTGGAATGGTACGACTACCCAAACTTGCAGTGGACTTACATATTATGACTCGCAGAGTGCACTCCTGGCACTGAACGCACATAGTAGTAACACCCAGAAAATATTTATATTCGAATGAATGTTTTAGTTGCTAAAGAAAGCAGATTTTAAATTAAAATAATTTCGATACCATCACTTGTTGGCATCTTAAAGCACGATAATGTTGACATGCTTGCAAAGACATTAATTTCTGCTATAGGCTGAGTGTTTCATTATCAGTAACAGAGAATACTTGAACAAATGACTCATGAAAATCTTACTTATCTAACAAATTCACAAAGACCTCAAAGCTGTAGTATTAAGCATTATGAGGAATACCAAGAGTAGGCATTTCTAAATAGAACTAATAGAGCAAGAAATCAGCAATGTGATGTTATAATGGCCAGAATACGCCTGGGATATAGACGTATCTTCAGCTTTCACAAATCCCAAATGTTCGAATACACAATGTGTCAATTTTGTGAAAGAGAAAATATGCATTCCTTTGTACATTATATTGTAGAATGTCCCATATAGACTGACTTTCCCCCTCCCGGTTTGGTGCCATCTTTTTGATAATTACTTACTTACTCACTCCCCCTCCTGGGCCGAGGTATGCTGAACACTGGAAATAATATATGACTACTGGAACACATGATATACTGGACTTGTACCTAAGATTGACTATGTAATGTATCACTTATGCCATATATGTGATGTAACTTAAACTTGAGCTTTCAAAAGCATCTTAATCAGCCTCTTTAGTTGTTATTGACACACTAGTTTCTGCAGCAACTATCTCGCCTGACAAACTAGGTGGGACATAAATATATAAGTGTATATGCGTAAGCTGGTCACAATTGCATTTTACCTTTGTAAACACACTTTATTTATATTATGTATAAAATAACATACATCAAATACTGTTTATGAAGGACAGACGTAAGTGTATGTATTTATATGTAGGTTAGCATTGTAAAAGAACTACAGTCACCTTCTGTGAGCGATTGTTCCAATAAATCATTGAACGATGTGTCTTGCAGATCTCTTCCCTTGTCCATGGAGGACACGAGAAAATGTATAAATGCTGGTTAGCGTTGTAAATGTGTGGCAACGTCTGTAGTAAACGTGGTTGTCCTATTTTCACATGGGCAGGTCCTTAATCTTAATTTTCCCTGGAATATCTAAGGCCATTACCCTCCTCAAGGTTTTGTCCCATACTTATTGGGGAGCGGATAGACGCACGTTCCTCTTATTACATTCCTCTCTCGTCTTGTCTAAACTCGATTATGGTTGCCCTGGTTACTCGTCTGCTTCTCCTTCTCCTTTCATGCCCGAAACGCTTTGCGTAATAGTGGCTTTAGGCATTGTATGTACTAGCCCTATCTATAAATCCATCACTCTTTGTAAAATCTCTTGTATGTATGTACCTTACCTAAATAAACATTTGATTTGATTTGATTCTACTCTTCGCCATCTTGATGCTTTACACCAAAATGGGTTGCGCCTCAGCTCTGGTGCCTTTCGTTCGACTCCCGCCCTCAGCTTGTATGTTGACACTGGCTTCCTATCTCACCAGGACCGTCGTGATCGCTACTGTCTTCGCTACCTTGTGCGGTCCTTGCAACATCCTTCCTCTCGCCTCTGTTGAGCTTTGACTTTTACCCCTCCTGTAGTTCCTGTTCTTCTTCACCACATCCCTCTTTCTGTCCGGTCATCTCGCTTACAGGATTCTCTTTCAGTTCGTATTTCTAATATTTCTCCTCGTATTGTTCCTTCCTTGCCCCCGTGGAGAGTCCTCCTTCCGCAGTTTTGCACATCCTTGACCCGAATCACTAAACCTTTTACTTCTCCTACGGTTCTGAAACGCCTTTTTCTTGAGCACTTTTCTTCTCACTCCCGCTCCATTTCCATCTTCATCAATGGGTCTAAGTCTGCGGACGGTCTAGGCTACTCTGCTGTTTTTCCTGAATGCACTTATATGTGTCATTTACCTCCGGAGACTAGCATCTTCACAGCTGAACTTTATGATATTCTCTATGCTCTTCGTCTCCTGCTTTTTCGTTGTCAAGCTTCCTTTGTGGTTGTCGTTGACTCTCGTAGTGCCCTTATGGCCCTAGGGTCCATTAATCCGGTCTATCCAGTGGTCATCGAGATTCAACATTGGATGTTTCTTATTTCCAGTACATTTAAGTCAGTTGAGTTTTGTTGGGTTCCCAGCCATATTGGTGTCTCTTTATTGGCAGCGTGCGGACGCTGCTGCTAGGGAAGCTGTCTCCCATAAAGATATTCCTTATTCCAACTTTTATCCAGTTATTCATTCCTTCATCCTTGCCCGTTGGCAGAAATGTTGATCTTCTGTTACTGGTAACAAACTGCGTGCTCTTAAGAGTACTGTGTCCTCATAGCCTTCCTTCTACCACCCTAACCGGCGGTGGGAAACGGCTATGGCGAGGTTGCGTATTGGCCCTACACGCTTAACTCACTGTCACTTAATGGAGCGCCGCCCTGCTCCTTATTGTCCAAATTGCATTGTCCCTCTTACAGTCGTGCATATCCTTGTTGAATGTCCTGACCTCCATGACAAGCGTGTGTCTAGCTTTCCAACCGTCCCTCGCGGTCACTTGCCCCTGATAGAATTCCCGGTAAATCGGATACTTTTGATATCGTTCGCCTTACGCGAACGCGTTTTTGTTCTCGTATGGACATCCTTGGTGATATTTAGCGCCCTCTTATTATTCCTCACATTTGATGGTGCTACATAGCCTTCCCGGTTTGGTGCCTTCTTTTGATAATTACCTACTTACTTTCCCTGGAATAAAACACGCCAAACAACGAGGTACCCACTCACTGCTGGGTGAACAGAAGCGTGCAGTTAAAGATTGGCGCCTAGTCAATCCTCCCGGGCCAGGATACGAACCCAGGCGAAACAGCGGGGCGAATGTGTTACCACTGCTCCTCGGTTATCAAGTCAAGTCATGCTCCTATGACTCTGGAGTCATTTAACCCTATGGATTCTGCATGAATCTAAGTCCAATATTGGTTGTTTATTGTCTCTAGCAGAGTTGATGCAGAGTTTTCCTGGCTTCCCGCCATACTGGCAAAGTGTGTTTATTAACATACTTTAGGACATAGCACTATGCTGCTACCCTAAACTATGTGAGGGGATCATAGCACTATGCTGCTACCCTAAACTATGTGAGGGGATCATAGCACTATGCTGCTACCCTAAACTATGTGAGGGGATCATAGCACTATGCTGCTACCCTAAACTATGTGAGGGGATCATAGCACTATGCTGCTACCCTAAACTATGTGAGGGGATCATAGCACTATGCTGCTATCTATGTGAGGGGATCATAGCACTATGCTGCTACCCTAAACTATGTGAGGGGATCATAACACTATGCTGCTACCCTAAGATATGCGAGAGGATCATAGCACTACGCTGCTACGTGAGGGGATCATAGCACTATGCTGCTACTCTGAGCTACGTGAGGGGATCATAGCACTATGCTGCTACTCTGAGCTACGTGAGGGGATCATAGCACTATGCTGCTACCCTCAGCTACGTGAGGATTGGAGCGATTTCGAAAGTTAAATATGGCTACTTATTATGACTAACTCCAGCATGGTTTATCAGACATGGGGTTCGAGTTAAGTCTACTGGCCTCTACTAGCGCGCACTGAGGATTTCTTCTAATATCCGAGAGTGAATAGGGGCTTCATAGATCAAATTCTCTTGTCGTTTGGTTTAATATCATTGATGATTGGGCATAAACTAGTATATTATTTTCTAGTTCTTTTTCATAGAGTTGAGAGATTTGTTGGTTTGAGTTATACCTGCCATAAGTAAACATACCATAATGTTCCTGGTAATTATAAGTCTCTGTATCACTGTATCAATGGTGAACGTCTGTGTGATCTCCGTTCTGGCAGCTCACAAGTTGTGTACAGATCATTGCCATAAATTCTATTGCTTTCTTACAGTAAATATGGTGCTGTGAGGTGTATTCCGTCATTAAGCGACGTGTAGTGGCAACTATTTACTTCACCTAGCCTGAAGTCTTGGCTGAGATTTAAACGGTAATGACAGTGATACAATTTGAAGTAAATATAATATATTACAAATTGGGGAAATTAATTTGTACTTTCGATAATGGTCGAAATGATTAAATTCCGAGATAATATTGTGCAGAGACGTTTAAAATTTTAGATACAATACATTTATTGTCATTTATATATCATTACATTGTATACAAGTTTACTTAAAATGTATTTATTGTCAATATATGTCAGCACATTGTGTAAAAGTTTAGTTAAAATGTATTTATTGTCATTATATATCATTACATTGTATAAAAGTTTAGTTCAAATTTATTTATTGTCAATATGTCATTACTTTGTATAAAAGTTTAGTTAAAATTTATTTATTGTCAATATATGTCATTACATTGTATAAAAGTTTAGTTAAAATGCATTTATTGTCATTATGTCATTACATTGTATAAAAGTTTAGTTAAAAAGCATTTACTGTCATTATATTATCTATTGACATTCTTAAAATGAGTTCTAATGCCGTGCCTTATTTTGTTGTCATTACTAATTAAAAATCGTTTTAAAATAACTATGAATACTGAGGGTTGCTCTCTGTGCTGCTCGTGTTTGGCTCACTACAAATATGTCCCTCATACAAATCTGATACAATACTTCACAAGATATAGTGCAATCACATAATGCAATAATTCACAAGATATAGTGCAATCACATAATGCAATACTTCACAAGATATAGTGCAATCACATAATGCAATAATTCACAAGATATAGTGCAATCACATAATGCAATAATTCACAAGATATAGTGCAATCACATAATGCAATAATTCACAAGATATAGTGCAATCACATAATGCAATACTTCACAAGATATAGTGCAATCACATAATGCAATAATTCACAAGATATAGTGCAATCACATAATGCAATAATTCACAAGATATAGTGCAATCACATAATGCAATACTTCACAAGATATAGTGCAATCACATAATGCAATAATTCACAAGATATAGTGCAATCACATAATGCAATAATTCACAAGATATAGTGCAATCACATAATGCAATAATTCACAAGATATAGTGCAATCACATAATGCAATACTTCACAAGATATAGTGCAATCACATAATGCAATACTTCACAAGATATAGTGCAATCACATAATGCAATAATTCACAAGATATAGTGCAATCACATAATGCAATAATTCACAAGATATAGTGCAATCACATAATGCAATACTTCACAAGATATAGTGCAATCACATAATGCAATACTTCACAAGATATAGTGCAATCACATAATGCAATAATTCACAAGATATAGTGCAATCACATAATGCAATACTTCACAAGATATAGTGCAATCACATAATGCAATAATTCACAAGATATAGTGCAATCACATAATGCAATAATTCACAAGATATAGTGCAATCACATAATGCAATACTTCACAAGATATAGTGCAATTACATAATGCATTAACTCACAATATATAGTGCAATCACGTAATACAATACTTACAAAGTTTAATGTGATTATGCTAATACAATACTTCAGAAGGGTAAATGAGGTAACAGACAGGCATAACATACATGGAGCAATACTGAGATAAAGCTTATTATATTCATACAGTAAATAATATTGTAGGTCAAGATATTTAATTCACCATAATAATTTATCAAATAATTAACTTTACTTATACAACACAGTTTATAACTTCAACATAACTTTTTAGAAATTAAACTAATTTATAATAGAACTGATGACAAGCAGTTTAAAACTTCTTTAATATAACACAGTTCTTAAATTTAATATTTAAAATTCAAAGTACAATCTTAAAATGTAAAGTAACATGTAATATCAAGGTTAGGTTTTAGACATTATATTTCCAGCTGGAGTGGACACGATGAATTGTCTTGATTATTTTCTTATTAATGATTCCCAATACTAGCTTTAGACTAGCATCAACAGTGGACTTGACAGCAGCTGTATTAATATATCTTATCTTCTCTTCATGTTCACTAATATAGTGACTTGTACAGGAGTTGCATGTATCCACAGAGTACTCTTATAAGAGTAATACAGTGACTTGTACAGGAGTTGCATGTATCCACAGAGTTCTCGTATAAAAGTTTTAACAACATGCAGACAAATTCCCAATTGTTCTAACACTTGCTGTGGTTGTCTTGTTTATAACGAAGCTTCTTAGTGCAACACCATAACTCCAGACTTTGAACGCTTGACCTGCAATTATTTGACTTCGTTAATACAAACAAATTAGGAAAAAACAATTTATATAAGTGGACGATGAGTCACAATAACGTGGGTGAAGATATGATGACCAAATCACACATCAGAAGATGAGGAGACGACAACGTTTCGGTCCGCCCTGGATAATTATATAGTCGTGCAGCCCGTCCTCCACAACCCGTCCTCGACTCAAGTTCATTACATCCATTACATATTTAGGCATTGGTTAGGTTAGGTGTTTAGGTTCTGTTGGCGATTATTTGTATTTGTAGTACGTGGATGAAGTATTTACAGCGTTGTGGTTCGAACAAAATTCGTCAGTGAAGCACTTGTTCCAGAAGTGTTCGAACTTCATCAGTTGAGTCGTGTGTAAACCGTTTTTCATTCATAAACAGGGGCTTTGGCGGGTGCATGGAATCAGTTTTAGGTCTTTGTTTGGAGGATGGGCTGGTACTCCAAAGATCCAAAAGTGATTCCATACACCCGCCAAACCCCCTGTTTATGAATGAAAAGCGGTTTAGACACGACTCACAACTGCTGACGTTCGAACATATCCGGAACAAGTGCTTCACTGACGAATTTTGTTCGAACCACAACGCTGTAAATGCTTCACCCACGTACTACAAATACAAATAATCGCCAACAGAACCTAAACACCTAACCTAACCTATGCCTATTTATACACAATATGCAAATATATTATAATATTAATTTATATTTGAGAAAATTCCCGTTTTAAATGAACAGCATGTAACAATTTATGAATGCGTCTGTGGGGTCGACCGCTGGATGTAATGGACTTATGTATATAAATTATCAAATGGAAACATAATTGTGGGTAATTGTTTGTATATAAGTTTAATATAAAAAACTTTACATACGTAGTTTTCATGGCTTTTATTGCCACCCCTGAGTATGACTGTGATCTGTCTTAACAGATGATCATTACAATTCTCTCTAGTAAAATATATATATATATATATATATATATATATATATATATATATATATATATATATATATTGGTAGCAGTCTTTCCTGTATATATATTATTAAATATGACCGAAAAAGTAAGATTAATAATTCTAACACGAATTTTCTCAATCTTTCGTACATTTCTTTTCACTGCTGGTGGTAATTCAAAAATCAATTCTCCAAAATTCATTTTTATTTCTAGTCTGACGCGACACTTGAGCGCGTTTCGTAAAACTTATTACATTTTCAAAGACTTTAGTTTACATATACACAACTGAACAGAACTTACACATCTCCGATTTGTTTATATCTACATTTGAGTGAGGTGGATGGGGTGAGGTGGTATTTAATAGGGTATTAATTTCATCAACACAAGACAGAACACGAAACAATGGGTATTGAATGGAAGTGATTGTAGAAAGCCTATTGGTCCATATTTCTTGATGCTTCTATATTGGAGCGGAGTCTTGAGGTGGGTAGAATATAGTTGTGCATTAGTTGGCTGTTGATTGCTGGTGTTGACTTCTTAATGTGTAGTGCCTCGCAAACGTCAAGCCGTCTGCTATCGCTGTATCTACCGATGATTTCTGTGTTGTTTACTAGGATTTCTCTGGCGATGGTTTGGTTGTGGGAAGAGATTATATGTTCCTTAATGGAGCCCTGTTGCTTATGCATCGTTAAACGCCTAGAAAGAGATGTTGTTGTCTTGCCTATATACTGGTTTTTTTGGAGCTTACAGTCCCCAAGAGGGCATTTGAAGGCATAGACGACGTTGGTCTCTTTTAAAGCGTTTTGCTTTGTGTCTGGAGAGTTTCTCATGAGTAGGCTGGCCGTTTTTCTGGTTTTATAGTAAATCGTCAGTTGTATCCTCTGATTTTTGTCTGTAGGGATAACGTTTCTATTAACAATATCTTTCAGGACCCTTTCCTCCGTTTTATGAGCTGTGGAAAAGAAGTTCCTGTAAAATAGTCTAATAAGGGGTATAGGTGTTGTGTTAGTTGTCTCTTCAGAGGTTGCATGGCGTTTCACTTTCCTTCTTATGATGTCTTCGACGAAACCATTGGAGAAGCCGTTGTTGACTAGGACCTGCCTTACCCTACAGAGTTCTTCGTCGACTTGCTTCCATTCTGAGCTGTGGCTGAGAGCACGGTCGACATATGCGTTAACAACACTCCTCTTGTACCTGTCTGGGCAGTCGCTGTTGGCATTTAGGCACATTCCTATGTTCGTTTCCTTAGTGTAGACTGCAGTGTGGAAACCTCCGCTCTTTTCCATGACTGTTACATCTAGAAAGGGCAGCTTCCCATCCTTTTCCATCTCGTAAGTGAAACGCAGCACGGAACTCTGCTCAAATGCCTCCTTCAGCTCCTGCAGATGTCTGACATCAGGTACCTGTGTAAAAATGTCGTCAACATACCTGCAGTATATGGCCGGTTTCAAGTTCATGTCGACTAAGACTTTTTGCTCGATGGTACCCATGTAGAAGTTTGCAAACAGGACACCTAGGGGAGAACCCATGGCGACCCGATCTACTTGCTTATACATGTGCCCATCCGGGCTCAAGAAGGGTGCCTCTTTAGTACAAGCTTGGAGCAGTTTCCTTTGAATATTTTCTGGTATGTCAAGAGGAGTACAGGCTGGATCACGATACACTCTGTCGGCTATCATCCCGATTGTCTCGTCCACAGGTACGTTGGTGAACAGTGATTCTATGTCCAACGAGGCTCTTATCCCTGTGGCCCGTGTGCCCCGCAGTAAGTCAACAAATTCCTTTGGAGACTTCAGGCTGAAGGCGCAAGGGACATAAGGAGTCAGCAGGCCGTTGAGTCGCTTCGCCAGTCTGTACGTGGGTGTGGGTATCTGGCTAATGATTGGCCGAAGTGGGTTTCCAGGCTTGTGTGTCTTGACATTTCCATACGCATATCCTGGTTTATTTTCCCCAATAATTTTTGGCAGGTGGAGTCCTGATTTCTTGGCGTTCACAGTTTCGATCAGTTTGTTGACCTTTGCTTTCAATTCGGCTGTAGTGTCCTTCGTTACCCTTTGGAATTTAGTTTGGTCAGAGAGTATGAGGTTCATTTTCGCCAGATATTCGTCTTTTTTAAGAATGACGTATATTGGCGACTTGTCACCTCTCCTGACAACTATCTCCTTGTTCTCACGAAGGCTTTTAGCTGCCGCTTTGAGCTCGGGGGACAGTATGGTGCTTCTGTAATTGCCTCGATTCTTTCCTCCTTCCGCAATAAGTTCTGCTTGTAAGGTATCTTTGGTAGTGACCTTCTTTTGTGTCTCGAGGTCGAATATGTCGTCCAACAGAATTTCCAACTCCACTTTCCGGGCCATCTCACTCGGTCTGGACATAACGTGACAGTTTATGCCCTGATTTAGGAGAGTGACTTGGTCCTCAGTGAGGTTAATTCCTGCAAGGTTCAGAAAGCCATCTCTTGGTCGTGGAATTGTCATAGGTCCTCCATATAACGTTGTTAGTTTATTGATAATCCTTGTTTCAGTGCTGAGGTGATGTCGGTCTGTGAGGATGTCGAGGTGTTGTTCAATGCGAATCACATAGAATCACTGTTCACCAACGTACCTGTGGACGAGACAATCGGGATGATAGCCGACAGAGTGTATCGTGATCCAGCCTGTACTCCTCTTGACATACCAGAAAATATTCAAAGGAAACTGCTCCAAGCTTGTACTAAAGAGGCACCCTTCTTGAGCCCGGATGGGCACATGTATAAGCAAGTAGATCGGGTCGCCATGGGTTCTCCCCTAGGTGTCCTGTTTGCAAACTTCTACATGGGTACCATCGAGCAAAAAGTCTTAGTCGACATGAACTTGAAACCGGCCATATACTGCAGGTATGTTGACGACATTTTTACACAGGTACCTGATGTCAGACATCTGCAGGAGCTGAAGGAGGCATTTGAGCAGAGTTCCGTGCTGCGTTTCACTTACGAGATGGAAAAGGATGGGAAGCTGCCATTTCTAGATGTAACAGTCATGGAAAAGAGCGGAGGTTTCCACACTGCAGTCTACACTAAGGAAACGAACATAGGAATGTGCCTAAATGCCAACAGCGGCTGCCCAGACAGGTACAAGAAGAGTGTTGTTAACGCATATGTCGACCGTGCTCTCAGCCACAGCTCAGAATGGAAGCAAGTCGACGAAGAACTCTGTAGGGTAAGGCAGGTCCTAGTCAACAACGGCTTCTCCAATGGTTTCGTCGAAGACATCATAAGAAGGAAAGTGAAACGCCATGCAACCTCTGAAGAGACAACTAACACAACACCTATACCCCTTATTAGACTATTTTACAGGAACTTCTTTTCCACAGCTCATAAAACGGAGGAAAGGGTCCTGAAAGATATTGTTAATAGAAACGTTATCCCTATAGACAAAAATCAGAGGATACAACTGACGATTTACTATAAAACCAGAAAAACGGCCAGAATACTCATGAGAAACTCTCCAGACACACGGCAAAACGCTTTAAAAGAGACCAACGTCGTCTATGCCTTCAAATGCCCTCTTGGGGACTGTAAGCTCCAAAAAAACCAGTATATAGGCAAGACAACAACATCTCTTTCTAGGCGTTTAACGATGCATAAGCAACAGGGCTCCATTAAGGAACATATAATCTCTTCCCACAACCAAACCATCGCCAGAGAAATCCTAGTAAACAACACAGAAATCATCGGTAGATACAGCGATAGCAGACGGCTTGACGTTTGCGAGGCACTACACATTAAGAAGTCAACACCAGCAATCAACAGCCAATTAATGCACAACTATATTCTACCCACCTCAAGACTCCGCTCCAATATAGAAGCATCAACAAATATGGGCCAATAGGCTTTCTACAATCACTTCCATTCAATACCCATTGTTTCGTGTTCTGTCTTGTGTTGATGAATTTAATACCCTATTAATACCACCTCACCCCATCCACCTCACTCAAATGTAGATATAAACAAATCGGAGATGTGTAAGTTCTATTCAGTTGTGTATGTGTAAAC